CCCAGCCCTCGGCCTTGACCCTGCCCTGTGCTGGCCACAGGTGTAGGGCGTGTCCCTCCATGGGCCACTGTGACCCTCAGGCCACGTCTGTGGACCTCACGCCCACAGAAAGCCTAGGTCATCACCCTGCACATCCAGACCTCAGACAGGCCAGGCGGCCAGCGTGGGCCGCGGCCCCTCAGCACCGCCTGCAGGTGAGAGTCCAGCGCGGTGCCTGCAGCCGTCTGGCCGCAATGTGCGTGGGGTGGGCAGCTCCCGCAGGCCCCGCTCCCCTCACGGTGGCCACAGCACGAAGCCAGTGTGGCCCTGTGTCCCGGCCACCGGTCACCGTGGCAGACGGGTAGGTGCCTTGCAGGGCTGCCCTGAGCTCTGTCAGCAGAGGTTAAATGGTCTGAAGCCAAAAAGGAAACCGGTGTGGTCGTGAGGTTGAACGGTGGGCTGGCCGTGTGCAGGACTTGCCACCGCGTCGCCGGGCCATCGGAGCCGTCGGGCGGTGGGTGCTTCGGGGCTCCCCCCCTCCCCCGCTGCTCTGCTGTCCCCCTGGGTGTCATTCCCAGGCAACCACCCCAGTGTCCTTATGAGCTAGGACCCCCGAACAGGACAGGGACCTCGTTGTCCAAGCTGGGGTCCTGTGCCCATCTCCTGAGGACGGCCCAGCAGGCTCCCAGGACTGTCACTGGGCCTGGGCCCGATGGTGGGGGCGGGGAGGGGAAAGGGTGGTCCCCCAAAAGACAAGGGAGGCAGGGCCCAGGAGAAGGGGACTGTCTCCTCCACGGGGACTGGGACGGGCGTGGCGGGCCGGTCACGTCAGTGCACATGGGGGACAGAGTGGGGCAGTGCGGGGAGGGTGAAGTCAGATGTGCGCCCCGAGGCCTTTCGTCGGGGCCTCCGAGGGTTTTGCTGTGCCCGGGAGCCCGGGCAGGATCTGCCGGGCATGTCTGAGACCAGGCCAGTCCCTGGTGTGTGTCCACAGCCACAGAATGGTGGACAGTGGCCCAGGATCTGCTGACAGCTGCCGGTCCCCTCAAGGCCCCCGTTTCTCCAGGTCTGTGCAGTGGGGAACCTCAGAGAACAGACCCCTGTTCTTTGCCCGACGTTGAGATGGGCAGCAGCCCCTGGGCTCTGCCCTGGACAACGATGCCCGGAACTGTGGGGCTTCGAGACAAGCCCCCCTCAAGCACATGGCTGCAGGATGGAGACATTCTGGGCGGTTGGCCACAGCAGCAGGGTGACCTCCTCAGCCTGGCTCAGCAAGGGAGGGCAGAGCCGAGAGGCACCGTGGGGCAGTTCATGTGGCCTCAGGGCTGGGCGCAGTGGCCTTCACCAAGTCTGCTACAGAGAGACCCACCTCCCCCACCTCCTTACACAGAGCGGAGGGATGGTGGTGGTGGTGATGGTGGTGATTGTGATGATGTGATGCTGGTGATGATGCTGGTGATGACAGTGATGATGATGATGGTGGTGATGGTGGTGATTGTGATGGTGATGATGATGATGATGTTGATGGTGATGGTGGTGATGGTGATGGTGATGATGATGATGGTGGTGATGGTGATGATGATGGTGGTGATGGTGATGATGATGGTGGTGATGGTGATGGTGATGATGATGGTGGTGATGATGGTGATTATGGTGATGATGTTGATGGTGATGGTGATGGTGATGATGTTGATGGTGATGGTGGTGATGGTGATGATGATGGTGGTGATGGTGATGGTGATGATGATGGTGGTGATGATGGTGATTATGGTGATGATGTTGATGGTGATGGTGATGATGATGGTGGTGATGATGGTGGTGATGGTGATGATGGTGGTGATGATGGTGATGGTGATGATGGTGGTTATGGTGATTATGGTGATGATGGTGATGGTGATGGTGGTGATGGTGATGGTGATGATGGTGGTGATGGTGATGATGGTGGTGATGATGGTGATGATAGTGGTGGTGATGGTGATGATGTTGGTGATGGTGGTGATGGTGATGGTGGTGATGGTGAGGGTGGTGATGGTGATGATGATGGTGAGGGTGGTGATGATGGTGATGGTATCTCTTAGGACCCTTTTCTGACCCGTAGGTCGTATCCCAGAGCAGAAGTGTATGGAAGCCAGAGGACAAGGAAAGCCAGGGTGGTGGCCGTTTTTCAGAGTAGTCAGAAGAATATCCTGAAGGTCTCTTTCTCTCCTAAAGTGACTGGAGCGGAGGGGAATGCATAGCTGAGAGGTGCCTGCTGCGCCTGAGCAAGGGCTTGGTGAGCGTGTGGGTCTACACCCCGCCTCCGTTTAAAATTTCACTGGCTGATGCCGAGGTCTGGGGCCACTGGCTGCCTGGCCTGGCCTAGGAGCATTCCCCTTGTGGGGACATTTTTCTCCTGGTGTGCACACGTGTACACACACACGTTCACCGCACACTCTCTCTACTCCCGGAACCCAGGGCCTCTGACCTCCCCCGGGGACCTGCACCAGGGAGCGCTCAGTGTCCTGCCGTTCCCTTGGCAACCAGCACCGAGCGGCCATGTGGGACTTAAGAAACAAAGGCAGTTAAGAGTCATAATAGCATCTAAGAGCCAGTCCCCAGGGTCCTTCAGTGGCTCCGTGAGTTACTCTGCTTAAATCCACACAGGGGTTCAAATCCCACTTACTCCTCCAAGGCCTGGCATGTAGGTGGTCCCACACAGGTGCCGCAGGGCTGGCTGGCCTGATCATGGGGTCCCTCCTCACCGTTACGTGGCTGCTGGGCCCTCAGCCCAGCCCCTGGAAGGTCAGCGGCCTCAGGCTCCGCCCTCTCCCCAGCCCTGGGGTTCTGAGACCCGGAGAGCAGAGCTGAGGCCCAGCCCTCTGTCTCCTCCTAATCCTTGCATGTAGGCCCGGCCCGCAGGTGGGCTTGGTAAATGAGGACCAGAACTGAACAGGTGCGCGGCACAGGCTGCCAGGGAGAAGGGGAGGAGGACAGAACATCTGGGCATTTGGCCCAGGTGCCCAGCACGGAGAGGTGCTTGCAGCTTGGCTGGACCGGTGCCCAGCCTGGCGAGGGCCCCACGCACAGAGCCCACGCTGAGGGTGTGCACTGTGTCCTTATGTGCTAGTGGTACCGCGGATAGTTTAGATTAGGTCAGCGAGCATTTACATGGGGTATCGAACAGGAGCTGGACACCGGGGCTGGTAAAGAGAAGTAAGGCCAGCCCCCAGTCTTGAGTGCCACAGGGCGCAGGGGGGCTCAGACGCGCTCCAGGGGTCAGAGAGGGTGGTCTGGCGGTTCTGAGCCTGGGCGAGGGAGCCACCTTCTGGCTGAGGTGCTCATCCCGGCCCAGCCACTTAGTGGGGTGGCCTTGCCTGGCCATTACCATCCATAAAATGGGTCCAGTGGTCCACCTCCGTCGCCGGGCTGGATGAGCCCAGGTGGCCACAGATGGTGGCGCAGGGGAAGGACTCAGGGCGTGTCGGTGAGGACCAGGCTGCTGTGATGGTCGGCAGAGACACAGAGGCGGAGGGGCCAACTCCACGGGGTGGGGGGTGGCAGGGAATGGAGAAGTCGGAGGGGCTGCCCCGCGCCGGGCGTGCTGAGGGTTACTTGAGTGAGCACCGGAGAGGCGCCCGGAACAGGGCCTGCCACCCAGGAAGCACCCATGTCGGCGACGCAGTGATGACGATGATGTCACTGTTCAGGGATCCCCGGGTGTCCTATCTGAGCCACAGGGGGAGCCACTGGGACAAAGTGAAGAGGCAGGTGGGGGCCCAGTCACAGAGGACCGGGCTCCACATCTGCAGACAGCTTAGCTGCTGTGACAAATGGATGGATCCCTAGCGGGCATGTATCACCACGCCGCGGAAATGTCATTCCTGCTCACGTCAGCGTCTCCGTGCACAGGAACTGGCAGCTTCCAGGGGTCGAGGGGATGCCACCAACCTCCAGGGCCTGGGGGGCCCCGGCTTTGAGCTGGCAGGGCAGAGAGGGCAGAGAGGGCACTCTGGCTTCCACAGACGCCAAGCTGAGAAGGGACACCCCTCCCCATAGAATGTGCTCACATTCCATTGGTCGGAAAGGGTCACATGGCCGTGGGTACAAGGGGAGCTGGGAAATGTAGTGCTGGGCGGGACCTCTGCTCCGCCCCAACCCCCAAAGGCAGCTCCAGTCTGCCTAGAAAGGGAATGTGTTTTCGCTGACCTCGCTGCTTCTGGGCACACAAACAGCCCCCCACCGGGGAGTTCACCTTGGAAAGGGCGTCAGGGGTGCTGGCCACAGAGAGGTGACCGGTGACCGCGGCGCAGTGAGATGTCAGCATCCCCCGGGGGCCCGAGTCACTCCATTTCTCTGTGTGTTGTCCAGGGTTCGGAGGGGGCTGTCTGGGAGGCTTCAGTAAGGGGCAGGAATGGTTCAGCCTCCCATCGTGGGCCGCTGTGGGCTTTTCTTTGCGGCAGTGAGTGATCTGTTCAATCTAATTACACCGTTGATATCATTTCCCGGGAAATTCACGTCCGACGCCGCAGAATAAGGGAAGCAGGCAGGGGACTTAATGAGGACGTTCATCATGGTTTGGTGGTGGCTGTTTTTTATTTTTCTTTCGGAGAAAGCAACCGTAATCAGGAAAATAACAATAAACGTCGTCATCCGCAGGCGCTCGGGTCTGCCCCCGGCTCAGCAGCCTCGGCCGCGGGGACCACCCCTGCGTGCCGCGTGGGCTCTGCATTCCGGCCAGAACGGCAGGGTGTTCCCGTGCAGAGTGCTCCCCCTCACCCCCCACGATCTGAGACCCTGGGACTCTGCCTCCCGTGTGGGAACAGAGCTCCTGCTCCTCCAGCCTTGGGGTTCATATGCGTTCCCAGGATTTTGCAAAGCGGGGCCCCGGACGGAGGCCTCGCCTCCCTCCCGGATCTGCCCCCAGGAGAGCGGGTCTCGGGCGTCGTAGGTCAGACAGATGAGAGGCTGGTGCAGCCTGGCGTGGTCCCGGCGGTCAGGGACGAGACGTGTCTAAGCCATGCCTCTCTCCCCTCTCTGTGCAGATGCGCGAGCGGACCGCAGCAGGAAGCTCTTCCGGCACTACACGGTGGGCTCCTACGACAGCCTGGACGCCGCCAGGTAAGGCGCCACCGCGGCCAGCCCTGCGCCAGGCACCTGTGTGCCTCCGGGGCTCGGCCCTCCCGCACGGTGCGCTCGGCCCGAGGCTGCTGCCCCAGGTGTCCACCGTGCCCCCTCACGTGGGCCGGGAGGGTGGCAGCCACGTGCCCCAGGGAACCTGCCCGAGAGGAGGGCTCTGTACTCCGGGGGCGGGTGGGCGGGCGGGCGCCCCTCTGGGGTGGCCCAGGGGCTGAGCGTCCAGGAGGAGGAAAGCCCGGCCTGTGTGGGGGGTTAGGACAGGTGGTTCGGATGGCAGCACTTGGCCACGGGCACGGAGGCGGTGTGGGGGCGCCGCAGCCCGGGAATATTCCGGTACCGCTGAGCCGAGGCTGTTGTAGGAAGGAGCGAGGCTCAGCCCCCTCGACAGTGTGATGCCGGCAGGCTGAGCCTTTGAGAACGGGGTGGGGTTGCTTCCTGGCTCCATTCGAAAGGGGGGTGCTTGGTTCCTGCAGAGAACCCGGACCTCCGATGATGTGGCGTGGGGTGGGCACGGGCTCGAATTTCCCCCACAGAAACCCCCCTCCCGAAGGAGACATCCTGGGGTCTCAGCGCATCTTTTCCTTTTAGCTCAGGGGGCGGGAGGAGGCTGACGGGTCCCCCAGGTGTGGGGCGGCTCCAGGGACAGCTGGGGCGTGAGCAGCATTTCTGGCCTCTGTTTCCGTGGCCAGCTTAGCCTCTCCGGCCCGTATCGTCCCCAACACAGCTTCTCCATCGCTTGTTTGGGTCACAGACACAAGTGTCCCTACACGGGGGGCCAGAAGGGTGTGGAGAAGAGCAGACAGACTGGGGGTTCTTGGTGGACAGTGAGCATCGGCCTGTGTAGGGACGGAAGACCACGGCGGGGGGCCCTGCTGGATGGGCATCTGTGGGGCCCCTTGGGAATCCCACCGACCCATCTTCCCCAGAGAAGGTCCGGGCGGGGGGAGGATCCAGACACCCTTCCCTGGGCTCTGCCCCAACGCGGGACCCCCAGTGGGGTCTGTGATGAGCAGCTCAGACCTGGTCTCCTCTGTCTGCCTGGGAATCGAACCTGGTTTCATTTCTTTGTTCACACTGAGTTAGAGTTCACGGGACGTAAAATCACCGTCTCAAAGCGCACACGTCGGTGGCGTTTCGTCTGTTCGGTGGCCCGGCTGCCAAGGCCTCTGTCTGGTTCCATGTTTTCATCACCCAGAAGCAGCCCCACCCCCGTCCGCAGCCGCTCCCCATCCCCCGCCCCCAGCCCCTGGCCACCACCAGGCTGCCTGCCCCCCGGACGTTTCGTGCAAACGGAGTCCGAGCGTGTGGTCTCTGCACTGGGGTTGGGCCGGGCATGTCTGTCAAAGTCCCCAGGCTCAGCCCTGCTGTGGCGTGTCGGGGCCTCATTCCCTCTCGTCGTTCTGATTTTTTATTGTGGAAAAATGTCTATCACGTGAAGTCGACCATCTTACACATCTAGGTGCCCAGCTTGGTGGCACTGAGCACAGTCACCTTGTCGCACAGCGTCCCCACCGTCCTCCCCAGAACGTCCTCGCTTTCCCAGCTGAAGCTCTGTCCCCAGTAAACGCGACTCCCCACCCCTCCCCCGCTCCGGCACCACCACCCACTTCCTGCCTCCACAGATCCGACGGCCACGCCTCGTGTGAGTGGGATCGCGCAGTGTGTGCCGTGTCTGGGTCATTTCACTCAGCACAATGTCCCCGAGGTCATCCAGGCCGTAGCAGTGTCAGGACGCCCCTCCCTGTGCAGGCCGAGTGGTTCTCCACGCGGTGGATGGGCATTTCGTTCACCCTCCTCCACTGTGGACCCTGAGCCGCTGGGAACGGGCTGCCGTGGACAGGAGTCCTGGTCTGGACACCTGTCTGCTTCGGGGCACCTTCCAGGGACTGGCACTGCTGGCTGTGCCTGGTCAGTGCTGACCCGTCCGGACCACCTTGCTCTCACACACAAGACGTGCTGGGACAGGTACACCGTGCCCAGCGGACAAGCTGGTGCCCCTTCTGGAGGCAGAGTTTCCAGATCTTGCCAAGATTGCCCACGTTTTGACCGTGAACGGCCGGCCACGTGTGAGCCGTGGGCTGGCCACCGGCACAAAGGGCGCTCAGAGGCTAGTGGTCCCCAGGGTGCCATGCCTGACCCCAGCCCCCCTTAAAGGGTCTTGTTCTGGGTCAAGTGACTTGCTTCCGTGGCAGCAGGAGGCCGCTTGTCACCGTGGACCTTGGGCACCTGGGCAGGTCATGCTCAGCTTCGTTCTAGCAGGGAGGGTGCCTGCGAGTCAGGGAACACCTGAGGTCTGCCCAGGCCGGGGGCTCAGGGAAAAGGGGCCCCTGACAGCCGGCAGGGTCCGGGCAGCAGCTCGCCCTCAGGCGGGGCCTTTGCAGGGCCGTCCCCCACGAGAGAGCCCAGAGCTGCCTGCGGGCCGCGGGGTGTGCGCCTGAGGGCCCGTGTGCACGCGCTCAGTGTTTGGGACGGGCGACTCCACCGGGCTGCTTCCCGCAGAGGAGGGGCGAAGGGCCTGACCTGACTGAGCCGGGCCAAGAAAGGACCGCGTGGCCGGGCGTGTGTGTGCAGTATGAGCGGTAAGAATGAGAACGAACACCGCAGCTTGGCCGACAGGAGACGTGTGGGACCATGGCACCTGTGCTGTGACGAAACGGAGCTGTCCAGGGAGGTGGTGAGCTCCCCGCTGCTGGAGGGAATCAAGCCTAGTGGGCATCCTCTGGCCAGACTGTCACAGAAGGTTGGACCGGATGACCTCCAAGGCCCTGCCAGCTCTGGGTTGCTGGTTTGGTTTTCCATGTGTCCTGACCACCTGCTCGGTGCCAGGACCTGGGCCCATAGAGGGAGGGCCATTTGGCTCAGACCTAGTGTAGGGGGGCCCTGAGTCCGTGGGGAGGGAGCCCGACAGCTGTGGGCCTCGCTGACGAGCTGCGACTGACTGTGGAGGACCTCAGAGTAAGGACTGTGCCGTTGGCCACTCTCTGGCCACTGCCAGCGCCTTGAATCAGTCACGGTACCGCTGACAGCGACCTTTAAATTGTGTCTTTGTCACGTGGAAGGAGGACACAGAAGCAGAGAAAGGACATCACAACGCAGACCTGGCCCTCAGCCACACGCGTGTCTGCGCGCGAGTGTGAGGCCCGGCCGGCCGGAAGGCAGCCCTTACCCTCAGACACGCCCCCCACGGCGAAGCTGTTCCGGCCCCAGACCGCCCAGGGATGCCCAGATTTTTGGTCGTAACACTGTCGTCACCTCACAAAGTGTGTTGCAAGGACTCGGACCTCTGAGCTTTTCCGTGCCGGGTGCAGGGCTTGGTCTGTGGGAGCCTCCTGCATCCCAGAACCGACCTATCCAGACTGGGGATTGGGCAGAGGCGATGGAGGGCCGGCAGCGAGGTGGCCCATGGATCCCACATGCCACAGTGACCCAGGCAGTGGATGTGCGTGGCTCCTGGGTGGGTCCTGCAGTCACAGGCTGACCACCGGCTGCTGCCCTAATTGGGCAGGACCCATTTGGGGGCGTGCCATGGGGGTGCAGCCCAGCCAGCCGTTCATCCGTCAGTTCAGCATCCACGGCACACGCGATGAGATGCAGAGGTGTGGGTATCGTGCCAGCACCCCGTCCCCAAGCCAGTTCTCCACTGCAGGTGGTGGGGTGCTGTCCGGCAGGCGGCTGGTGGCTCAGGCCGCCCCACTGCAATGCGAATGGAATTAAAGAGAATAGAGAGCTGGACTCGGAGACCATTTCAGAATCAGTCGGGTTTTCTCCCCTCCCACACCTTCATGTCGGGGCTCGGAGCTGTGGAGTGGAGTGGTCAGGACACACCAGTGCCTTGTCGGCTGTGGCCAGCCACTCCGGTCGCTCTCCTCCTCAGAGTCCCCTCTACCACCCGGAACGGGGTGGAAGGCTCTGGAATTGTGGGTGCGGGATCGAGGTCAGAGAGCGGAGAACCTGGGGCTATTTCCACAGAGAACCTTACAGGTGTTTCCGTGTAAGTTTTTAAAACACTCTCTACGCAAGGAATGGAGTCTCAAGTTCCCACCTAGTGGTCTCACTGTAGGCTGAGCGACTCCATCCATCCATCACCTACCCCACTTATCCACCCACCCACCTGCCCACTCATCCATCATCTATCCATCATCCACCCACCCATCCACCTGCCCACTCATCCATCATCCACCCATTCATCCAATCACCTATCCACCTGCCCACTCATCCATCATCTATCCATCATCCACCCACCCATCCACCTGCCCACTCATTCATCCAACCACCCATTCATCCAACCACCCATCTACCTGTCCACTCATCCATCATCCACCCATTCATCCAACCACCCATCCACCTGCCCACTCATCCATCATCTATCCATCATCCACCCACCCATCCACCTGCCCACTCATTCATCCAACCACCCATTCATCCAACCACCCATCCACCTGTCCACTCATCCATCATCCACCCATTCATCCACCCACCCATCCACCTGTCCACTCATCCATCATCCACCCATTCATCCACCCACCCATCCACCTGTCCACTCATCCATCATCCACCCATTCATCCACCCACCCATCCACCTGTCCACTCATCCATCATCCACCCATTCATCCACCCACCCATCCACCTGTCCACTCATCCATCATCCACCCATTCATCCACCCACCCATCCACCTGTCCACTCATCCATCATCTATCCATCATCCAACCACCCATCCACCTGTCCACTCATCCATCATCCACCCATTCATCCAACCACCCATCCACCTGCCCACTCATCCATCATCTATCCATCATCCACCCACCCATCCACCTGCCCACTCATTCATCCAACCACCCATTCATCCACCCACCCATCCACCTGTCCACTCATCCATCATCCACCCATTCATCCACCCACCCATCCACCTGTCCACTCATCCATCATCCACCCATTCATCCACCCACCCATCCACCTGTCCACTCATCCATCATCCACCCAT